CAGGGGACATACTGCTACTAGGTCATGCCCTTTGGATTGAAGAATGTTAGAGCCACCTATCAGCACTTGGTAAACAGAATGTTCTGAAAGCAAATTGGAATATCAACGGAAGTATACATCAATAACATATTGGTAAAATCACTGAAAGCCGAGCTCCACATAGGACATTTGAAGAATCGTTCCAGATCCTTAAGGAGTAATAGATGAAGCTCAACCCCACCAAGTTTGCCTTTGGGGTCTCTGCGAAATAATTCTTAGGCTTCATAGTCAATAGCAGAGGAGTCAAGTCAAACCCAAAAGAAGTTAAAGCAATGATGAACATGCAGCCACCTTCCAGCACAAGGGAGGTCCAATGCTTAACAAGAATAACAGCTTTGAGTCATTTTGTGTTCAAGTCAAGCGATAAATGTCAACCTTTCTTTCAAATCCTAAAGTAGGCCTTCCAATGAGATACCCAGTGTGAAGAAGCATTTAGAGCCTTGAAGGATTATCTGAGCTCACCTCTAGTTTTAGTAAGCCCTTCGGAGGGAGAAGTACTCACCCTTTACCTCGTCGTCTCAAATTTCTCAACCAGCGCAACATTAGTAAGAGAGCGAGACAGAGCTCAACAACCAATTTATTATTGTATAGGAGGGTATCCCAAAATGGAGAAACTTGTCTTAGCCCTGGTTACTGTTCCAAGAAGACTCAGACTATACTTCTAGGCTTATACCATTGAGGTCCCAACAGATCAACCAATGAAGCAGGTATTGCATAAACCAAAGTCTTTAACGAGGTTGGTCAAATGGGCTATAGAGCTTAGTGAGTTTGATATCAGGTATAAAACCAGAGTAGCAATCAAAGGGAAGATTCTAGCAGATTTCATTATAGAATTCACTACAGAAGCTCCTATAAAGGCAACATAGATGGTGTCAGAGCTCCCCATCTAGAAACTTTCAGTAGATGGAACTGCCAATGCTCAGGGAAGTGGTGTAGGGTTGATTTTGATCTCCCTAGATGGAATAGACGTCCAATATGCCCTCAGGTTTGGATTTAAGACCTCGAATAATGAAGCGAAGTGTGAAACTATCATCGCTGGACTCAATCTGGCTCATTCAATGGAGGTAGAACAACTTGAAATTTACAACAGCTCCTAGCTCATGGTAAAACATATATAATACATTTATGAGGCAAAGGGAGATAAAATTATCCTCTATCTCAAAAAGGTGCAAGAATTGATTAAGAAATTTGTGCAAGTCAAAATTAAGTGTGTCCCTAGAACTAAAAACTCACGAGCAGATGCTTTGGCAAGGCTAGCTACAGCCTCCCAAGAAAGCTAGGATAGGTTGATACCAGTAAAGCACCAAGCAGAACCACCTGCATTGGCTTCGCCAAGCTAGATGGACCTAATCAGAGAGTATCTTTAGAATGAAACCTTACTAGAAGACCCCAAAGAGGTCGCAAAGCTAAGAGCCAGGTAAGTCAGATTCATAATCCTATAAGGGAACTTGTATAAATGGAGTTTTTCAGCACCTCTACTTAAATGCGTAGGAGATGAGGACGCTAACTACATACTTAGATCCACAAGGGAGTTTGGGGTACCCATATCAGAGCTCAAGCTCTAGCAGGAAAAGCACTAAGGCAGGGATACTTCTGGCTCACCATGTTCAAAGATGCCACAAATATCGTCAAAAAATGTAAGGACCGCCAGATACACGCAAACGTCCCCCATTGCCTATTGGAATTCCTAACCTCGGTGGTGAGCCCTTGGCCATTCCAGTAATGGGGTTTGGACATACTTGCGCCCCTTCCCACAAGTATTGCACAATACAAGTTCGCCATCAATGGGGTAGATTAGTTTACCAAATGGGCAGAGGTAGAGCCCTTGACAACTGTCACAAAGTAGAAGGTTCAAAGTTTCACTTGGAAATCTATAATTTGTAGGTTTGGAATACCCAGGACAATCATCTCTGACAATGGTAAGCAATTCGACAACCCAAGTTCAAAACTTTTTGTGTAGAGATAGGGATAAAAAATTACTTCTCAGTCCCAGCTCATCTTCAATCCAACAGGCAGGCTGAGGTGACCATCCGAACTATAAAAGTGGCCCTGAAGACTAAGCTGTAAGCTTTGAGAGGAAAATGAGCGAAACATATTTCAGAAGTATTATGGGCTTACAGAACCACAGCTAGATTAGCGACTCAGGAAACACCATTTGCTTTGGCATTTGGAACTAAAGTAGCGACAGGTCGGCATACCCTTCCCCAGGACTGATTTCTCAGAACTTGAGCACAATAATGAGTCGCTCTTACTAAACCTCGACCTCCTGGAAGAAAAAGGGACAAGGCCTTATAGTGCATAATGAGTTATCAAAGGAAAACAACGAGGTATTACAATAAGAGGGTTAGACACAAAAGCTTTAGAGTTGGAGATCTGGTACTTAAGAAACTCTTGCCTGTAAGGAAAGATCTCACACATGGAAAATTAGGACCCAACTGGGAAGGTCCCTACATTGTTTCAAGGGTAATCAGACATGGGAACTACAAATTGCAGACAGAGGAGGGAAAATTTTACCTTACTCTTGGAACGCAGAGCATTTGAAAAGGTTTTTTCAGTGAGCTTCTTTTGTAAAGAAATTTATCTTCAATAAAATTGCAAGCTTTTAACTTATCCCAGCATGATTGCATCAAGAAGCTAAGAAGCTAACGATGAGCTCTTCAGTTCATAAATAAGAGATGAGTTCTTCAGCTTATAAATAAACGATGAGCTCCTCAACTTATAAATAAAAGATGAGCTCTTCAACTCATAAATAAACAAAAAGCTTTTCAGCTCATAAATTAAAGATGAGCTCTCCAACTCATAAAAAAAAGATGAACTCTTCAGCTCATAAATTAATGATGACCTCTCCAGCTCATAAACAAAATATGAGCTCTTCTGCTTATAAATTAAAGATGAACTCTTTAGCTCATAAATAAAGGTGAGCTTAAGAGCTCGTAATCCAGCATTTAGCTCTACTGCTCATAAGCTCGCAAGAACAGCCACCAATAGAGGAAAATTGCAAGGAGATAAGCAAAGTAGAAAAACAAAGTTTCTCATTCATTAAAACATGGGGGGTACAATAAAAAGAAGAAAAAAGAGAAAGCCCTAATACCCCCCAAGCCTCCTATTCAGCTCAACGATCTCCTATTCTAAGGAAACGTTCACAGTCCATAGACCTGCGTTCTCTTCCTTTAGCTTGTCTCGTTCCTTCTCCACCTTGGTAAGCTTCTTAGATCACCCTAGTAGTAGAAAAAAAAATGTCACCGAAGGAAGAGCCAGATGACTGAGAAGAGGAGTCACTCCTCCTACGCTTTCTTGAAGATGTAGCCACATCCTCATCCTCATTTGTCTTAGCAGGGGAGGACTTAGGAGAAATTGGAAATGAGGCAAACTCTAGAGCAGCAACTGCAATGCTGAAAAAGAAGAGGTTCTCTAATGTAATGAGCTCTGAAAAAGGGGCAGGCTTGACTTGGCCCACCTGACTAACCCTCCACAGCTTCGTTAGAGTCAGACTGGGAGTACCTGCACAACAGAAGCACGATCAGAGCCAATCATCATGAATCTAGCAAAATGAGATTCTAGACCTCTACGTTTGTAAGAAAATCACTCCCAAGAGCGAGGAACCCTAGACTCCGCACAACACTGTTCAGTGGACCTCCAGGAATCTTCAAGGCAAAGAAAAAATGTTGGGCCCATCCTTCAGGAGATGAGGGGATATCAAGCCCCATAGGGGGCTCGAAGAAGCGCCTCCATCTTAAGCAGCTAAAATAAGGGAGCTTTTCCTCTTCAAGCACATAGAAGTAAAGAAGCTCGAAAACAGTGGGGAACTCACTATTGCCTTGCAAATGCCAGAAAAGGAAAAAGCTTATCTTAATGCCCTACCCTCGAGGAGAGAGGCGAGAAGGGCACAAACCATAATAGGCAAGGATCCACCCAATGGAAGGGTGGATGGGGACATGAAGGCCCATCTCGAAGGCACCTTCAAAGAAGCAAATCTCCCCTTGAGAAAGGAAATTACAGGGTTCATTAGGGCTTGGGACTCACAGGTGCAAGTTTGCAGAAAGAAAAAATCGCCTCCTGATTCCATCCAAGTTTAAGGATGTTATCACCGAGGGAACCAAGTAATTGGAATGCCACCTCAAATCGATCCCAGTGGAAGCTTGTTGCTTGAACAAAGCGGAAGGAGGGACAGCCATCAGAAATCAAGAAAAAAAATAGAGTTCGTAAGAGCCACTAGCAACTAAGGAACCCAAGATTCCTTTCCCAAAGATCGTGGATAGGTGAAAACTTTAAGATTCAAAAGTAATAGGAAGTCTGAAGCCTTATTGAAGCTTCAAGAAATCCCAAGTTTTAAGGAACCAAGGAACGCTTGAAGGCGAAAAGGCGGTCCCTTAAACTTCCCATATTATGGTAGTGGTTAAATTTTTAGAAAGTAGTTGGGCACACGCAACAATGAGAAAGTCGGTGTTCATCTCGGCTAGCTCAACTCTGCCAGATTGGCTCAGTTCAGGAGTCCTTTAGCCCAACAACTCCCCAGCTCTTTAGTTCACAAGAGTGTGCCCTTTAAGGTTAAGACCTCAGCCATTTAAGTCAATAGTTCTTTAGCTCTTCAGCTATCTAGCTTCTCCAAGCTTGGCAATTCTACTTCAAGGCGAACCAAGTCCTCCTCAAAGTAAGGGGACAAGGGGAATAGAAAACATAGCAAGAGTACAGCAGCACAACAACCAGAAGTACAACAATTACAACCAATGTATATTCACATTTCTTAAAAGTAGTAGAGTACTAGGAAAACAAAACTAACAATAGAAGTTCTTCAAAAAAAAAAAATTCTAAGTCCCTGTGGCAGGAACAGAAGAAGCATTCGATAGCTCAGTGATAGAAACCTCAAAAGGATCAAAGTAGGTGAAGGCAAAAGGACCTCAAATAGAGCAAGAGTAGGAGCAGGGGCCTCATCTCCAGCTAGGGGCAAAGTCAACCAGAAGCTAGAGCCCCGAGGTTAGCAGGGACATCACTGAAAATGGCAACACTAGCAGAAGCATCAACAGGAGCAAGGGCAGATCAGCAACTCCAGTAGTAGGATCAGGGATAAGGATTGTAGAAATAGCTAGAGCAGAGAAAACCTCCTGGGCCAGGACCTCAACAATAATAGGAAGAGGTACTTTAGTGCCTCCAGGAGCAAGCTCAGGAGCTGAGGGAGCTAAATCCCCAGCCTCTCCTTCAGCTCTAGACACTTCCTCATTATCATAAGCGGGCTCAAAGTCATCAAAAACCAAGTTCGAGTACCTACGTATGGGTTGACGTTGAAAAGCAAGGTACCCAACAACGAACTTGGTTGTGAGGTCATCTGTCAACTTAGCGGCCAGAGTATCTTTATGCTCAACAGCATCTCTCTGCACCTCGAGCTCACTCCAAAGAACGTTGCGTATTTCTGTCAGAATGTCGTATTCCCTTTTCATGCTCATATAAGAGCCCAAAGCCTTGAAGACATCCTTGCTGACCTTAATCCAATCATTAGTTTTTTTGCCTAAGCTCCTCCCTAGTCTTTCTAAGCTCCTCTTTGGTCTTTTTACACTCATCCTCAATCCTTCCCTTCTCGGCCTCTGGTCCCTTAATGATAGAAGTTTGCCTCTCCACCTACGATTATAAATTCTAGACCTGAACTTGGAGGTCGTTATTGGTGAATGACAGCTCGGCAGCTTGAAGTTCGAATGCCTTTGACACCTTAGCAGACCTTTCCAGAGCTTGGATCCGCTTCAGCAAATCACTCACATGAATGGCCAGCTAAGAACAAACACAACCCAAAAGCTAGAATTAGCATAAGGGGCTGACGCAAGACAAAAGTGGAATTTGAAAAGCCAGAGGCTTATCGAAGTAGCACCATGCAGGGCAGTAGAGATGGAGGATCCAAGGGGCATAGTTGCAGTCCTCTGAATGTCAAATTTTGGGATAATAGAGGCAATGGCTTCCGTCGCACGTTTCACGTTATTGATGAGGGAGCCCTTGTCTTCAACTTTGGATTGCTTTCCTTTCTCAACCCTAGAGTCCTTTAGACGTGGCTGAGAGGGTTCCTCAACCAACCCAAGAAAGGTGGACCCAGGAAGAATGCGGGTGATTGTATCCATGGCTCTCTCGACTTCTAGCGAGGAGGGAGAGGTCGGAATCGTGCCTTGCTGAGAAACCCCTTCAGAAAGGAGAGGCCTGACCCCTTGGGGAAGTAAGGTCTAAGTGACCTTCGGTGGGCTTGGCGGTGGAACAAGGGCCACTTGGGACGAGGGAGGAGAAGCAGGAAGCACCTCCAACCCCAACACCTTGGTAGAAGAGGCAGCACCATTTCCTAAGCCGACCTTTGCCTTGCGCTTGCCTCCACTCCTAGCCCTCTTCATTTGGCTGACATTTGCCTTAAATCTTTAGTAGAGGGCTTCATTGAAGAAGAACCTAGAAGCTTAAGACAAATAAATTAGAAAGAAAGAAGTGAAATAGGAATTAAGAATAGAAGAAGAAAATGTTACCTGTACCACCCTAGCTCCAACCATAGAAATAGGGATGGTAGTCTCAACTCTTACTTCTGGAGGACTAAACCTGAGCAGTGAGTACTTGGGGCTTTATGAGCTTAGCATATTTCTCTGAGTCGCAATCCTCTAAGCTCAACAGAACTCGTCTATCCACTGTGCTGAGCTCAGGGTGAATACCTGGAGAACAAAATGGAATAAGAAAAACAAGGTCAGCAAAATAAGTCATAAAAACTAATCCAAGTTCACTCAGGCAAGGGCTTACCCAAGTTGTTAGGGGCAGACCAGGCTCAAGGCACTGGGAGAGTATCTGCAACATCTTTAGGGTTGTATTTTCATTCTTTGCCCCACACAAAGAAGAAGAGCTTCTTCTAACCCTTGTGGGAGCTTGGGAGATGAGATATGATAGGTCGGGTTTTTACCCATTTTGAAATATACAAGAAACCGTCAAAAGGAATGTACTTGACATTAAAGAACTTCACGAGTAAAGACACAGTAAGAACTCCAAGATCGTGTTTCTTAAAGAAAACAAGAAGACCCACCAGAACACCCAGGGCAAACGTTGAAATGTTGCATGACACTCTTAAGGAAGGGGTGTAGAGGAAAACAAAGGCTGTTCTTAAGAGCAACCACGAAGAAACAAACTTTTTTATGAATGGGGGAATTATATAGAATGTCCTTTTCTGGGCACCAATACTTTAGACCCCTAGGAAAACCAAAGTGAGTAGATAAGACCCTCATGTAAGGAAGTGCAACCTCGCTGGAACCCACGAGGTCTGAAGCTCAAGGGGCAGCCTCCACACCCTCAGTGCTGCTAGAAATCCCAATACCGCTCACTTTGGCTTTACCTTTATCGGACTTTTTGGGCATAGAGGAGGAAGATGAGGGAGGCACCTTAGCACTTTCCTCAACATTGACAGAATTGATGCCAAGAAATTTTTCAATCTCCTCACCCATTTCCCCAAAATTGACATCTTCCTTAGCAGACCTGTTACCCATGAGAGAAACTGAGGAGGCTGTAGCTTCGGAAGAGGCATACTAAATTGGACAAGAGAAAGGAAGCCTGAAAGATCTATAAAGAGGGGGGACTTTCGCAAAACAGTCCCTGAGTGTTTAGGGGTCAAGACACCAATAACCAATGAGGAAGACTCTAGTAGTAGAGAAAGGATCCAGAAATAGGGGAAGGGGAGACAAGGAATGACCTTAGTTCCTAAAATAACAAAAATGAAAAGACCAAAAGTGCAGCAACCACCTCGGATTCAAGAGATCCAGAACAAAGAAGTGAGCAAGAGTCACAGAACGTACCTAATCAAGGGTGGGGGTGATGAACCAAAGCCCAGAGTAGAGTTGGAAAGAAAACCTCACAAAATCTCCAAAGTCAAATTAAGAAAATTTTCTTCAGAAAAACCCTAGGCAAACAGAGAAAGCTAAGATTGCATAGGAAGAGAGGAGGGCAACGCTTAGAGAGCGAAGGCGGATGAAAAAGTGAAGCAGTTTTCGTTGCCACGGGAGTATTTAAAACTTTGTGTACGTGCGTCTTTGAAGTACAATACGTGCACGAGAAATAAGGAGGAAATGATTGTGTGAAACCATAAGAAGAGTCTCTTCGCATGCAAATCGAAGTTGCCATATAGAGGCTTAGCTCAACCCAATTGCAGCTCAGCCCTGCTCAAACTCACTTTGGCTAGGGACTAGGGGGCAACTATTGATACCTAAAAGAAATTACAAGTTTGAGCTCAAGAATTGCAGTCAATCAGGGAGCTCAGCCAAGCAAAGTTGACCTCAGAGGTCCATACCTTGGGGGATTGCTTGAGCTATACCTCAAAGGAAATTAGTAGGAGCTAGCTGGAAGCCACTTGAAGCATCTACAACCACAGTAAGCGCCAGTCTAGGCACAATATCCTCAGTTGCCCAAAACCTTCTCCTAAAATCAAGTGAGATGTTATGAAAAGAAGGCGAGGATCTCGTCTCAGATCCCATGGAGTTAGGAATTGGACTATAAATAGTGTACATTGTCCTCATTACAAAGAGGAGAAAAAAACCATTGGAAATATATCCAAAATATCGTGTAACACTCTGAAAATGGTCAATATAGACCCAAGGAGCAAGAGACTCCATTGAAGAGTGGATTAGCCGAGCTTCTGAGTTGGTGAACCACTATAACTCCTCAGTGTGAATCATCCCTTAACCCCGAATCATTACATTGTTCATACGAGCCTAGTAGCCCAGATCGAACCTTACTTATATGTACAAACATATATTCTGCTCATCCACGTTTACATACCATCAATATCCATCATCATGTATACTGAATACACTAGGGTTGCCTTGTGAGAATTAAACTTGAGCCATTACGATGGTTGATATCTTTTCATTCCAGCAATGCAAAGAGGTTGGAACTATGTCCTTTCATCCTTTCCTAAATCCTACTCATATAATACAAAATAGATATCGTGTTTAGGAATCTATCCCCGACAAAGTGTGAATCCACCTTGTTACCTGATCAGCTTTGAATTCTCAAATGCTGGTGATGGTTTATCTTGAAAAAAATTGGCCTTTTCAAAAAAATTGGCCTTTTCAAAAGCTGGGCCCTTTTTGACTAGGTCTGGCTTGTAGTATCTTCAACAAAATCTCAGTCACAAATTTTCATGTTTGGGATATTCTCATATTTTGAACAACAAGGCTACATCTATCAAATTTTGAATCTTAAATTAATATAAATTTAAGGATTATTAAGCCCCACAAACTCTCCCTAACTAATAAATTTGATAAAAATTTTAGTCCACACATCATTTCTCTATTTTGAATGCCCTGCAATTAGGGTGACAGGCATGCAAAAAGTGTCCGTAATGAAATATGGTAGGGGGAGCTGGCTACGGTATAACCAAACACCTTTTAAGTACCATACTAAAATTTATTACATTTATGGTAATTTTTATTATATTTGTGGGTATGTTTATCACTGTTGTGACACCCACAAATGTCGTAAAAATAGTTATCACAACAATGATAAAATACCCACAACAGTGATAGAAATACCCACAAAAATGATAAATTAACCACATAAGTGATAATTTTTTTGTTGTAAAATTTGCCACAAAAATTATAAAAACACCCTTCGAAGTAATAAATTTTAGAGGTAAGGTACCAAAATTTTTTTGGCACAAATCTATGGTTGGTTATCTAAAGATACACTCCTACACCATGACGAGGAACATAACTCAGTAGCCTTGATAGTTGATAGCCAGTAGAATGATGGGATTTATCTTCTCTTTTTTCATCCTCTCCATCGATATGCTTCCCAGATTTTACCTTTTGAAACAAGAAATCCACATTTTGTTTATATATTGGTTGATTACTATTTCAATGAACAATAAACTTTTAGACGATCTTCATTCTAATTTAGACTCAAATTTAAATGAGTCTAAATATTCCAAAAACCTTCTTTAAAATTGGACTCAGCCTTATATCAAATCAAAGAAAAACTTATTCTAAATCCAAATTAAGTAAGACGCAAAAGGAGCGGAAGACATTGCCCTTCCGCGAAAGAAACACAAAGATCGAGTATCATGACTTACACAGGTATGATCCAAACCTTGGTAATTTAGGTATTCTAAATTTCATATACGAATTATTAAAATTCTTCCATGTGGTATCAAAGCCATCTTATCTGGATTTAAAACCAATGAAATTTATTTTGTATGTATATTTTTATTCATCATATTTGGGAATTTCGAAAATTTTTTTTAAATGAATTTGATATAAGTTTTTGAATAACCCATAATATGATTGAAACATAAAAAACCCATCATATTGAATTACACAGAGAGCCTACGTGGGTTTGTCCCTTTAATTGCCCAAAACATGAGATCTTGATCTTCTTGAGCAAGTATCTGGCTTTAGGACTACTTATGAATTGGGCTTTTGAGAAGATGTAGCAATATGAAAGGAATCAAAAATTAAAATTACAACTTTAATACTATTATGAT